TTATAACAGAGATTAGAGACTTTATGATTTAAATTGGATACTAGAGGGGACTAAAGATTCCAGGCAAAAAGAAAAAAAACTTGCTTTTGGTTTTGATTCGGACTGGGATTTACAATGACACAAAACACTATAACATTTGAAATATTAAAGGAGATCTTCGAAGAATGGGGCCAGAAATTAGTAGCCACAATATCAACAATGTCAGTAATGATGTCTGCTTCTATGGATAGACTATGTTTAAAGGATATTAATGAAGGAATGGCAGATGTGAAACAAATCTTGCTTGATGCAGAAATAGTGGACTCAGAAATATTGGATTAAAAAAAAAAGTGTGGATTACAAGATAGAGAAGGTATTTAAAGTGGAAATACAAGTGGCAGGCCAAGAGAACCCAGATAAGGACTCTTTACTGGATATACCAAAGAAGCTGGCTGAAGTTTTAAAAATTAAAGGGGAAATGCAAATGATAGACCAAGAGAATGACCTGGACAATGTCTTCTTACTGGATCTACAAAAGAGGCTTGTTAAAGCCTTGAAGGAATCTGTGGAATGGGATAAAGAAGAATTGAAGAGAAATCAGATCCTACAACAATATTTGATTGAATTAAAGATTAAGACTGTTAGAAGTAAACAAAAGAAATATAAAGTTGGTTTATTTGATCAAGGCTAAAAAAGACTCTTTTTTTGCCAAGTTCTGGCAACCCTTTATGGACTTTTTGCTGACACCAGGATTGAAAAGTTGATGTTTCATGGATTGGCTTATAGATAAGGGATGGAATATGGGAAGAAGAGATATCTGTTTGTATCCTTACAGGGGGTGAAGAGTTACTAAATTTGTTTATACTTCTTGTGATGAAGGTTGGAAGTCAATTCCTTATATATTTCTTTTGTTTTTCTTTATTTCACTCTTTCCTTTTTTTCCCTTTTTTATTTTTTCTCTTTGCACTTTTCACTCTCTTTTTACTTTCCTTTCTCTCTCTGAGTTTAGTTTGCATTAGTTTTTATTACTGCAATTAAAATCTTTAGTAAAAATTATATATATAAAAAAAGAATGACTTTCGAAATCGCAAGGGAATAATCAATAAAATCCCTGAGGCCTCAAAACAAAGAAAAAGAGAGGAAGAAGAAAATACAGTGGAGATTTTTGGCACTAAGCTCAAAGATTTATGTCCTTTTTCAGACCATAAAAATGACTTAATGCACTTTGTCTGGTATGGCCAATCCTTAATAATAATGTTATACTGAGCATTAACTGCATAACTTTAGTCAATCTCTTTGTCTATTTATCAGTGCTATGTCTTTCAAAACTATATTTTTGTTCCACATAAAGAAGTAACAATTGGCTCCAGGACTTTGGGGGGCCTGGGCCAAGCACCCATCATGAATTCCCCCCCTTCACCCCCCAGGCCTGGAGAATACAGACGTGCAAACTGGCCAACGCACTGGGGCGTTCTGGGCACGGAGCAACGCGTGCTTTCAGGACATGCTCTGATGCGGAACCTGCCTTTGCTCCAACCACTCCCAGCCCAATGCGGAGTTCGGGTTAGCCCTGCGATGGGACTGCGTCCCCCTCACGCCCTGTGGAAACAAGAACACCTCCTCCCTCCCTTGCTCCTGGCCAGCCCCACCAGGTTTCCTGGCCCAGGCAGGGCCCCTCTTGCACCCTCCCTCCGCGGGGCCAATGCCCAGGAAAAGGGGCCGCCTCCTCCTCAAGGCCCCCGGGAGACGCACCCTGCAGCACCTCCCCCAGAGCCTCCCCCTTGGCGTAAAGGGAAGGGGGCCAGGGGAGTCCAGCCCCCTGCTCAGGGAGCCAAGAGCCCCCGGAGGTCTCTCCGTTCCTCTTTCCCTTCCTACTTCTCACAGGCTGCCTTCGATCCACATTTTTGCTTTGCTGAGCTCCAGAAATGAGCGGGGTCGTTCCTTTATAGCACCACCCAACTTGGGCTCTCGGTTGCAGACGACTGGGGCCCAGTTTGGTCTTCCTCCCCAAGCGGTTTTCCCTGCGATCTCTGCCATACACCGTAGCAATCAGGGGTCTCCTTGGGTGTGGTCCAAAAAGTCAAAATGGCAGCTACCACCAACAGGCAGAGCTTCAACTGCAACATCGTGGGCGCCATCTTGACTTTTTGGACCACACCTATTGAGTTGATTTTTTCCAATGTGTTCCGCCCCCAACTGCTCATATCCTCTGAGCCATAAGGGCTCCATTCTAATGTATGCATTACTGGCATGCAAACTCTGTGGAAGAGAAGAATGACTAATACCAGAGTTGTCTCTGCTGACAAAATTCGGAGAAGTGTCTTTTTCTAGAGGACGCTTTTGGGGTTAGCTGACTGGCTTCTGCGGCACATCTGTAGCTCTGGGTCATGCCTGTGACAGGTGGAGAGACTGGAGGTCCAGCCTGCTTATCCAAGCATAGCCATTCGTACCATCAGTTTTCCTACAAGGTTGCACAGAGCAACAGGGAGGCTGTAGAACTTTCCATCACTTTCCAGTTAACCTACCAAGTAGGGATGTTATGAAGATAAAATGCCAGGAAGACATCTTTTCTCCCTCAGGTGAACTTGCAATTCTCAGGTCCAGGCAACTCAGCCAGATTACAAAGTCCCTGGACAGTTCCTCCCCAGGCAGCTTCTGGGGTTAGCATTGGGAGGGAGAAGAAAATGAGAGGAAAGGGATGGGATGGGGAGGAATTTGGACAGCCACATCTGACATGCCCAGTCTTGCCTCATCCCACCCAACTGTCAGCCCAAGTGTCCCAACCATGGTCATCCCATTTCCAGTAGGATGTTGGCAGGGTGGAGAAGGTTCAGAGGAGATGATGCAGAGATGTGAGGACATGTCCTGTGAGGACAGGCTGAAAGAACTTGGGGATGATCGGTTGGGAGAAAGGAAGACTGAGGAAAACGTGATAGCATGTCCAGATAGATAAAGGGACGATAGAGGGAATATGGCCACGAAGCATCTTCCATGGCCGTGGAAATTAGGACCAGAAATCATGGGGATAAGTTGCAGCTATGTAGATTTCACTTAAATATAAAGGGAAACATTCTGATCTCTACAACGGTCAACCTATGGAGGTTGTGGGTTCTTCATCTTGAGGGAGGGAGTTAACAGCCCTACCTCTCATGGATGGTTTAACTGGTTTTCCTGCACACGGGAGAGGTTTGGACTAGATGATCCTTGTGTCCGCCAACTCTACAATTCTATGAGTCTATGGTCCTCACCTAGAGGTTGTCCAGGCAGAAGTGGTTCATCCAAGGCTGCCCAAGGGCTTCCCCCATATCCCAACAAAGTGACTTGCTCTCCTCCCTATCTGCAGGGCTTGACTGTGCCCAGAGTGGACCATCCGATTGACCAAGCCCACCTGGAGAAGATGGTGAAAAGGGCGGTCCAGGAATACTCCTACAAGAATTCAGTAGAACCAACGGCATACCGGCCGTACAAGTATTGGGTGACCCGGGAAGAAGGTACATGGGTCCTGGGAAGTTTGTTCTCAATTCCTCCTCTTTGACCTCTGTTACACCACTGATATGGCCTGCATTCATCTGTCGCACTAAGCCTTAATTTTCTTAACCATGGCTTATTAGAGAACTACAAATGGCTAGGTTACGAGAATGTGCTAAACTCTAACCATAGTTTACAAACCAAAATGGCCGGATTAAACCATTAATCTGTTTGATCTTGGCCCAATGCTGGTAGGGAATTCTGGGAGTTGAAGTCCACCCATCTTAAAGCAGCCGAGTTTGAAAAACCCTGGTGTAAATGCCAAGAGACGCTTGCAGCCCCCAATCTCAGTGTCACTTGTTCATCCTGCCCTGCTCGATTTGCATCCCTGGCAGGAAGATCCCATTCCACCTATAGAAATGGCAGGGGGTGCGCCAGCCTCTCCACCCTCCGCTAGTTTACCCGGCGGTGCAAAAATTGCTGAATCCTTTCCATTTCTCATGATGACCAAGGTCAGAACCATTGCAGGAAAGGACAAGCGAGCGCGCGCCCAGCCACCTGGCACTGCCTGGACAGCAGGGCTGGAAGAAAGGAAATGAGAAACGGAGCTGCCTAAGCAATATATAAAGGATTCCTCCTGGCAAATCTGTCCCAGGGAAAAGGCATAAACCTGGCCCCCCGAGCACTCTCTGGCCCAGCCAGATGTTTGGGGTCCTCCATTCTGAGAATTCACAGACAAAAAGCGTTTCTCAGCGTTGCCACCCCAGTGAATTTGGGTGGGTTCCAGGAGAAGCAAACTCTACACAGGATCTATTATTATACCAATTAATGAATACTGAGTCATGCAATTCTCAATATGCCCATTATGCAATGTGATGCATACATTCGGTCCTCGTCAGTTTTTATTCCTCCTGACATTTCAGAGCCTGTGTCATGAAAAATTCGGGGGCGATCTTTACCTACTTTTAGCAGCCAAAGGATGGAAAGAACAGGCTTACAGCCAGCTGTAAGAGCAGAAGCAAGAAAACCTAAGAAATTACTTTTGTTGCTAATTGAGTTTGTCCGGGCAGGCCAAAAAAGTATGGTAAAAAAAAATTAAGATGGCAGCCATAATTGTGCATTCATTGCTCCGGCTGATTTTTATGTGTGTTTTCTATGCGTCACTATATCCACGTAGTGATGACCAGCTGGTGGCATTAAAGAAATAGGTTGCCCTCAACTTCTTCCAAGAAATTTTTTGCATTATTATTTCGCAAGGCCTTTCCAATAACCCTGGGATCCCCGGGTGGTCTCCCATCCAAGTATTAATCCTGCTTAGCTTTTAAGAATCAGCCAAAGTCACCAGTGTGCTGGCCTTGATATGGGTGGGCTCGGTAGTACCTTTTCCAAATAAGAAATGCTATTGAAAATGCGTACGCACCTGATGAGGTGAACTGCAGCTCACAAAAGCCTGGGCCTTTTAATAAAGCACGCTAGTCTCAAAAGACGCTACCAGACTCTGATTTTTTGCCATCATAGACTAGCCCAGCTCTCTTCCAACCTCCGCATGTGCTTTTTCACCCTTCTCTACAGGCATGGAAAATGCACTCATCCATCACAAAATGGATGGTCCTTGAGATGGACTTTGCCTCTCTGTTTCTTCCAGACGTTGTCAGGGGGTGGTTCCTCCAGCCCCACACCGTCCCAGCATATCTGGGGGCTAACGCTCCCCGTCACGCCAAGCTCCGCATCCTCGTCCAGACACTTTGTATACCTCTTCTTGACCCAGCTAGGAAGAGTCACGGGCATCTTCCTCACCCCGCCCCTCAACCCCGGGTGCCACCCCAGTCGTTCCCTCCCGCTTGGGGTGTCCTGCTTCCCCCCCCCCCCCCCC